ATACAGATGACGGCAAACACTACATGTACGTCATCACATTCGCTAAATGTCGAGTTATGGATATCCAATGCACAGCAAACACGCGGCGTGCGACTGCTGAAAGACAAATATCAGGGCCCTTAAAATACCTCGACCCCCTGGTGTGCCGTCAGAAATGATAAACGACTGTCATCTTGACATCCTCCGCGGTGTTAATCGTCAGAGAACGCTCGGTGGCGTTGTTTGACGGTGAGCGTCACTTTACCCTGGGCCTAAGGCTAATATTCAACACTGGAAATCCACCATGCGAGAACGAACAATCCGAAACGTGACATGTGGGTGCAGACTGCATCGCCGTAACACTATGCGTAGACGTGCAAAAATTCCGAAAGCTTAAGGTTGAATTGTTGAAAGACGTGACCGTTTTCGTTGCTGAGATCCTTTTAGAAGTTGCTCTATAAAACCCTTTGCTTTATCGATTGGGAAAAGCGCGGTATGTGCCATTTTCTTCTCCCATCTGACTCAGCACCGGGAAACATTAGCGCTGCTCTCATCCCAAAGCCGTTTGTACGTAGACACTTCCATTAAGGTTCATATTGTAGCGTGAATGTTCATTTGTGTACTTGGCTGGGTTAAACTGAAAGGTTAAACTTTCGATTCAAGTCAGAGATTGGAAGCGAGGTAAGAATACACAATGTCAACTCCGTATGTAAAACGTTATTGCCCGAGTTCATGTTCGGCTTGAGCACGAATTCGCTGAGAAGTTAAGACTTGTACGGTTATTGTCATTCACGCGAGGATTGGAAACATGCTTGATTAAGGATGCGACAAATTAGCCACCAATTAAAAATTAGAATGCGTTTATAATTTAAACACGCCAGTCCGCTATGTATACATGATTAGTTTCATATTACTATAGTTATGTTTAGAATAGAAAAACACGAATATACTTTATTATACATTCACCAACACTTGATAACTGAGGCACCATGCAATATATATGGTGCTTATCAATGGTTATAGTCTGCTAACTCCTTAACTTTTTATTAACCTATCGAAGTCGAAAACTACTTCCTGAGTTAGGAGAAAGCGCTGATGTTCTTTACAAATTCTACAGTGACATTAAATATACCTTAGAAAACAATATAATCGTTGATAGCTGCACTTAATTACTAGATTTAAGCGAGTTGATGTTGTTTTTCGCCACCCTGTTGGAGTGGAAGATCCTGTCCCCCCCTCCGGATCCGCCCAGTGCAGTGGTCCAACATGGCTACCACGGACGGGAGCAGTGTGTCAGCTCGCGGGCAGCCAACTCTCGTCGCCAACAATGTTTCCAACGGCTCGGATCAGCCCCAGAACGGTAGGTAAACTCGCTTATCCCACGCTCTCACGTTTTCCTACAAAAAGTCGTGATCGTAGCGAAGCGGGCGCGGGAGAGAGCGGCGCCGCGGGGCGATGCGCTCACGTCCTCGGCGGGTGTTCGGTGTCCGGACGGCCCTGCTCCGAGTCACCTCTCAGCGTGAAGCAGCGATTCCTTCGACTCGCTTTACCCCGCCTGTCCGGGGAGACTAGATCGGATCGGAGGGATGTTCCGCACGCTAGAGCTGGGACAGGGACGACTGGTAGAAGGAGTAAGCCTAATCGGGAACGCTTGTACAATTTTATAATCATGCACCGCCTGGTAGTAAGGATATACACAACATCGTTTAACGACCGAGAAGTGGGCAGGGCCAGGGCGGCGAATGAAAGTACTAGCAAGCAATAATCCCCAAGTACGCAGTTTAGAGGAAAAGGGCCATATTTTTTAAAACCAGTGTCACTTTTCTGTTTTTTTTTTCAATTGGAAAAGCGTACAGAAGCTCGCAGAAATGTATGATTTCACTCCGTGCAGTACTCGGGCCCATAACGCCCCCTTTGTACCGGCGCTGAATACAGAGTGTTTTGGGCTGGCTCTACAGCTGGTACAAGAATAATGGGCTTACGAAATGAGATATTCTTTCTTTCACTCTTATCGCAGTTTACTTTTGTCCACGGGACGATTGCCGTACCTAATGTGATACTGTCTAACATGTATGCCCTGATGCCAGCTTAAAAGAAACCGAGTGTCCACTTTCAAAGGATGAGTACAGCCAGGTGCATCTTTGACCCTATAAAGGTTTAAATCTGGGACATTGTTGTAGTTTGCAGGCTGCAGGTATAAGATATGTGCTATTTGGATTTTTCAATGGCAGACTGGATTGCAATGAATATACAATGTTTTGGGTCACTACCTGTAAGCTAAAAGTGAAATACAATCTCCCTGCTGCCAACCCTTAACTGTCAACTACCCTACAGTCTGGTTTGATAAATGTCAGCATTCAAAGTGGAAGTGTCTTAGAGTCCAAAGTCCAGAAAATGTAATTTCCTTATTCTACAAAATAATACCCATGTCTTAGATCATATTGTCCTCCTCCTTTACTTTTCCTTTTATTCCATTCAAATCAACTTCTGACACCCATGCTATATACCTAACCTGATGTCTATAGTTCAATTTTGCTCAGTACCTTTTGACAGGTACAGGCCTTGTATAATCAGTACACCCTTGCTTGCACCAACACTTTCTTCAATTTTCCTAGTTTTATGGCCACCCTCCTCATGGAAACTTTGACCCGCCCCTTTTTGCCATGACCATGAATATAGACTGTTTTGGTCTACTTGCTGTGAGCTACGCCAGAATTGAACTAGGATAATGGCAGAAGAAACTGGATCTCACCCGGGTTCGTGTGCAGCTCAGTTTACAAGTTTTAGTGTGTGTGTCCAGAGGTAAATGCCAAAGGTTTGCCTACTCCAGACTGCTGCCACATGCTTCCCCTCACTAACTGGGCTGGCAGAGCTTAAATCAACACTATAAAAGCCTTTAAATCATGATGGGCTTTTAATATTCCCCACCTGGTGCTAATGATGGTCTAATCCTTTCCACAGTACCAACACCAACAGTCAGAGACAGAGGGGTCCAGTTGACATGGCTAGCTGTCAGGCTAAAGTAAAGAGCAGGTCTTATATCTATACAATCTAATCATAAATCTATCACAAAGGTATGTCTACACAAGGCACGTGTATATTTATGTTTGGATTGTTTAACCCCCCCTTGAACAATGGGAGACAGGAGTCGTGCCACTGGGGTATATAAATTTCTACTTCAGCCAGCTTGGAATTCATCATTGTAAGCAGCAAATTCTATAATTGAATCACAGTTCAAATCCTTGTGTGACAGTGTACGTGTAGCATCTCACATACCTTCGTCTTTCCGAGTTGCTGTGTCAACATCCATTTTCCCCAGCTTAGGCCGATGTCCCATAGCCCTGAAAAGTGCCACTTGGTGGTCCTTGTGTACAATGAACAAATTAAGCCATGGAAATATCAATGCCTTGTTGAAATATTGATTCCCCATCACAGCTGTGCCCTGTATCACCCCTCAGTTAGCTCAATTTACCAGTGTTAGTGCGTATGGGTCCTTACTTCACTGAATGCCTTTGCAGAGTTCTTTTGACCCGTCAGTGATCCTGGGGCATAGTTAGTCTCACTAAAGAGGTGGAAAGAATTAGCTTGTGAAGTGCTGATTATTTATGATATGTGTATGTTGTCCTTGAAACGTGACCTAAAAACATAACAACATTGAAGCCTTCCAGTATCAGTCACACCCTGACAGGTTTGTGATGCTAAGTACTCATGACACCCTTTCAAACCTGCAAGGCAAAGACCTTATTTCTGTCCTCCTTTGCAACTGTTTCCAATTTATTTTCGCAGCCTTTTGAAATGTTACAAGGAAGTGGAACTCAATGACGCGTTCTTTATTCAGACCTTTGTGTACTTAGCTTGGCAAAACTTTGGATACTGACACCAAAATGACATTGAAGGATTCGGAAGGGGGTGCATGTGAAAGTGAGATGTCAGTGAAAACTTTTCCTTTTCAGTTTAGGTCAACAGTTCATACTGATAGGTATTCCTCTGTTGATTATTTATTGTCAAAGTTGGTATTAAGAGTCATTACACATTTTTCTTTTTGTGTGTCTCCTGCTGCAGTATAAATGCATGTAATTCATATTTCCCTTCTCCCACAAGCTGTCCTGATCCTAACCCTTTAAAAATTCAGTCCTGATACAAGGCCAGAGGTCGTATAGCCCCAGAGCAGTCTCTTGCATATCTTTCTTTGCTAACTAGATACGGGCAAGTGAAATGTCATCACTCCTAAGTGTTATGCATGCAAACACCTTTCTGAGTCAGAACCCATAGGCGATTATGGCATACTTTGAATGCAGTGATGGGTAGAATAGTAGTGGTGCTGCATTACTTAGACTCAAGCAGAATGTCTGATAGCACAGACACCTTGTACGTTATGATTGATTGTTTTGTAGCTCAAAGTTATTCACGGAAGAAAACAAGGGCACTTGGACGATTGACCTCAGTCAACATTTTTATATCACTAAGCATTTCTGTACGTGTTCGTGTTTAAATAGTCAGAACTGTTGCCACGATTTGCACAGCCTATCCTGAATATGTCCAAATTCATTTTTCTTAGGTCCTAACTGCAAGCAGACCACTGCCAGAATTGTACTTATCTTGGTCGCAATCATGACAGTAGTAGATAATAAGTATAACTCAATTGTACTGCAGTAATTACCTCCTTTGCAATTCATTATAGTAATGATTTTCAGAGCTGATGCAGCTAGGATGGTTAATGGAAATGTTTACTTTTCTGTCAAGGCCTGTGGCAAATGTCGTGCATGAAATTGTATTCTCTGGATAGGGGTAACCCACCGGTGGTTTGCATTAGCCCTGTTTCCAGAACTGCCACGTTAATAGGCTCCCTTACACTGCCAGAGTGAATCCACTTAGGAGGGTTTTTACTCCGCATGCCATCTGTCAAGGCCAGTATTGCAGTGACTGGGCACAGCATTATGGGTGTGCTCACTCTTCAGTAGCCTAGGCCGATTAATGTTTCAGTGACTTAGCATAGTCATAAATCTCCACATGGCTGCTTTTTCTTTCATAGGTAATGTTATAACCAAGGAGGTTTCAATGTTATGACTGATGAAATTTGGTTATATAAAACTGAGTAAATGGAAATATGAGCAAAATTCTTTTGAGACTGTAGAAATTATATTTTCATGGTAAAAATTCAAGTTTGTAACTGTTTTAAGTGCAATCCTTGCTACTGTAAACAAATATGTTTTGATAGGATAGTTTGACATGTATGTAACTGTTCTGCCTTTGCTTTGTAAACCATACTGAACGAAATGAAAACCTGTGCAAATAGAAAATGCTACAGAAGGTTTACCTGCCTTTTGTCCCACCTGTCTGTCTACTGGAAACTACATTCTCACCTAGTGTTATTGCCCTCCGTTTGTAGACATTTATTATCAAAGGTACAATGTACACGTATCTCCAATATCCAGTTAAACAGGCATCCAGTTCTTTTGTCTAGACCTATATGTGTGCACTACTTGTTCCGTAACATAGCTACCTTTTTTATTCTTTACACAGCTGTATAGTCGATGTAGTCGCAAGTACTTGGCTCTGTTAGGGCTACATTTTCTTCCTTTCTTGTTTCAATGTTTGAAAGCTAATTGCTTAGTTACCTGACACTAGAAACTGCAATGTTGATGGTTGATAGAGGGTCGGAGCTGTAGATATACATGTGTAGGAATTGGATGACAAATATGTTTAAGTTTCTTACAGTGTAATTGTAGAGGATGCCAGTTTTTTTAGACGTTACACTCTAGCAATAGCACATCCCTTGTTTAAAATTCCTACCGGTATCTCTATAAGGGCAAGGCCGGCTCCTGTGATACATGTACAATGTGTACTCAGCATTGCCTTTTCACTGAAACCTATTGAAAGGCTTGAAACGACAATGAGCAATATATCAAACCTAACCTGGATAGCCCACGCCATGTGGCAAATGTTCCTATGGTAATTCAAGCTTATCAGAGTTGGCAGTGTTTTACCACCCAGAGAGCTAACATCTTAGTGAACATTTAGATAGAACAGATATTTCACAGCCAGGTATATATCACTTCCATAACAGCCCAGTCGGTATCATTTGGCATGCCGACATTGTACTTTCAAACTGCATGTGCTTGCTTGATTCCAAATCGTATTACTTTCTGGGGCGGCCTGTTCATGGGGATTATATTCACTGGTGATTCCATATTCAGGGGATTCTAATAAGTTGTAAAGTCCTACTTCTAGATCTAGTAGTAGTACTGTATTAGTTGTGGGTAACTCATCTGTGTCCATCATGGTACATATAAAATATATATGGTTTGTATTTAATCAAATCGTTTTAGTGGCTTACATTTTTATTTCCAGCTGGGGACT